ATTTTTTGAGGTTATTGTAAAGGGGTAGTTTTTCTCATTTCCTTCTCAGATGATTTGTCACTGATACACAGAAATGCCTTTGATTTATGGGAGTTAATTTTAAATCCTGCTACTTTGCTGAATTCAGTTACAGTTCTAGAAGTTTTCTGGTGGAGCTTTTTGGGTCTAGGTATAGAATCATATCATCAGAAAATAGTGCTAATTTAAGTTCTTCTTTTACTATACATATCCTTTTAATTTCTTTTGTCTATCTAATTGCTCTGGCCAGTGTTTCAAAAACTATGTTGAATAGAAGTGGTGAAAGAGGGCATCCCTCTTCACAGTTTTTAGAGGGAATGCCTTTAATTTTTCTCCATTTAGAATGATGTTGTCCTGAGGCTTAGCATAGATAGCCTTTAAGATGTTGAGATATGTTCCTGTTCTCCCTGAATTTAGTCTTTGTTCTCTAGTTTTTCTAGTGTTTTTAACATGTAAAGGTGCTGTATTTTGTCAAATGCTTTTTCTGCATCTATTGAGATGATCATATGATTCTTATATTTGAGTCTATTGATGTGATGAATTACATTTATTGATTTCTGAATGTTGAACCAACCTTGCATCCCTGGGATGAATCCCACTTGATCATGGTACAAGATCTTTTTGATATGTTTTTTTCGAATTTTATTCATCAATAAAAGACAATAAAATCATGACATTTGCAGGTAAATGGATGGCATTGGAGATGATAATGCTCAGTGAAGTTAGCCAATCCCCAAAAAAACAAATGTCAAGTGTTTTCTCTGATATAAGGAGGCTGATTCATAGTGGAGTAGGGAGGGGGAGCATGGGAGGAATAGACAGACTTTAGATAGGGCAGAGGGATGGGAATGAAAAGGAGGGGGCAGGAGGTTAGCAAGGATGGTGGAATGTGATAGACATCATTACTCAAAGTACATGCATGAAGACACAAATTGATGTCAACATACTTTATATACAACCTGAGATATGAAAGATTGTGCTGTATATGTTTAATAAGAACTGTAATGCATTCTGCTGTCATTTATTTTTTCAAAAAATCAATAAAAAATAAACTAGTACCTCAAAGAGAGAGAGAGAGAGAGAGAGAGAGAGAGAGAGAGAGAGAGAGAGAGAGAATATCAAGTGGGAGGCACAGAGTAATAGTCCATTGCAAGGATTCAAATGCTAAGGATATCCTATGAAGCCCTGGCAAGGGGGCCAATGCTGGGCCTTTTAGTTGAGGCCCATGGTTGGATAGTCTGCATCAGGAGTTCCATCTACATGGCATTGGATCAGGAAATTAGTGAGGTCCACCTTTGTGCAAGTTCTCAATAGTCAGTGGTACAGGAAAGATCTGATAATAGCAACTCTCAATTTGGTGCCTTCACAAGATTTTGAAGTATTGTTTACATCATTCAGTTTCATACACCAATGATTCAAATGAGTTTTCTATTCAGTATTAAGTTAAAAGTTGTTTTAAATATCGTCTCCTCTCACTGTCATTTCCAGATCTCAAGTTATTTCTGTCACTGTCAAGTGTTATGTAATATAGAACATATTAATAGCCAAAGTGACGTGGAGGTTTTCTAGATTTATGATTTCAGGTATAAAACTATATTAAATACATTAATATAGAACATATAACACAGCATTCTTATTATAATTAGGTTTATCTAGAGAAAGATAACCAATAGGATTTATATGTTTATGGAAAGAGAAAGAAGAGGGAAAAATATTACTTTTAAGTAATTAGCTTGCATGATTGTGGAGGATTGACACATCTACATAATGGGACAGTAGACTGGAGACCCAGGAAAGAATTCCAGTTTGAGTCCAAAAGCAGTCTGCTGGTAGAATTCCTCTTGTTCAAGGGAATTTAGTCTTTGTTCTCTTAATGTCTTCAGCTGACTG